CTCAGGGACATGGCGCTGGTTGATTCAAGTGCAGCCTTTAAACAGAGATGCGTGGCATTGGACCATAGCGGGGAGCTGTGGAAAGGTCTGGCAGCTGTGCAGGTTGAGACTTTTGCTCAACTGGCCTTCGTGCTAGGGACTCCGCAAGGGCCCCCCGGGCAAGAGCAGTTTGAGCAGCTGGCAGGGAAAGTTTGGGAGTCGCCCAGCTTGGGTGATTTAGCACTCCTGCGCTTGTTGCTTTCAGAGGCGTCCACGTTGGCGGCAGCCCATCCAGAGGCACAGGTTTTTCCGGCTACCAAGGAAGCGCCTGCCTGTTCTAGTTCAAATGCTACGAGAGCCCAGCCAGAAAGTTTTTCAATTGGGCCTCATCCGCAGAGAGCGGTCAGGGCCAAAGCACAGAGGCTGAAGGCCAAGCTGGGCATAGAGCCCATGTGCTGGTCTTTCAATGCGAGTGGACACGCCCAGACCGTTTCAAGGAACCCGCCTGCATGCAGGAAAGGGGAGCATGAGTGCATGTCGTGCGGTCGCTCCAACCATGGCGCCCAGGCATGCACTGCTCAAAATAACAACTGACTGTTGCCGGGGCCCTCTTCGGGGGCGATTCGCAGGAGTCGCTCGCCCTTGAGGGACATAGGGCAATCAGCCGTTTTTCACAGAGCACGGTGCAGTGGGTGAGGAACAACAAGGACGTGGGAGCCGTGCCCTTGAGCATAGCCAGCCACGTCAGGAGTGTATCCTACCTAATTACCTAATGGGGCAAGTGCATCGAGTCCTCGTTTGCATCGCCGTGCGAAGGACCCGTTGCTTGCCAGGCTGCTATCGTGTCGCAGACATCCGACTTTTTCAATTTACCGCAGGTTCGACACGCTTGTCCAAGCTTGTGAAATCCTTGGATTGCAAGCTGTACCAGTGGACAAGGTGCTGAACAGTTCACTTCGCTTTTCAACTTGATCTGCGTTCGCCTGTGTACCTTCTGCTAATTTTTTCAAAGACCGCATGGCCAGCGTTGTTGCGCGTGCTGGCTCCGCATTGTGTCACACCTTGCGGGGCCGGGGTAAGACCCGTAGATCCGAATCGCTGAATGGGGGCATTCCGCCCAGGCCGCTCAGGTCGCAATCCTCCTCATGGACTGGCGGATTTATGCCCACAGAAGCCAACAGGAGCTGATTACCCAGAGCTATTGATTGTGTGAGCAGTTTCCATGCGCATTGCATAGCAGACCAGCAACGTCATATTCGCATTTTGTGAGCCTACTCTCCACGCGCTACTGGGTCGTGACACAGTTTGCCCTGCATCGCCAACCTCAAGGGCCAACCAGTTCATACTGTATTCTTGCAGTTTTTGGCATGCTCAGCCCATGCAGACTCGGCCTGGATGCCACGCCGCCCCAAAGGGGCAGCAGTTGTTGTTCGCCTTCTGGCCAAGAGGGGAATTTTGCGGGGCGAACCATTGGCAGTGTGGTTTTGAACTGGACATCTGGTACCGGAACAATGCGGGGAGTGCATCGAGCACACCCAGGTAGAACAGGTCACGTGGGTGTGCCCGGATATCCTTGGGATGTCGTGCGCGGACAGTGCGAGCAAGGTGCAGTGTTGGTGGATGTTGGGGTTCAGCTACGTGCAGCGCTTGGGTTTTTCAGGGGGCAGGAGGACTCTACCTTGGTTCAGCTACGTGCAGTGCTAGGGATTTCCAGGGGCAGGAGGACTCTACCTGTCCGAGGACTCTACCTGGCTTGCTGTGGTGCATGCAGTATTGGAGGATGTTGTGGCTCAGCTATGTCCAGCGCTAGGGCTTTTCCAGGGGCAGGAGGAGGTGGACTCTAACTTTCTCTCGAGTGCCGCTACGTGCAGAGGACAGGAGAACTCGGCCTTCCTCTTGATTACAGCAGTGCTGGGGATGCACTTCCCCTGTCCTAGCGATTTCCAGGGGCAGGAGGACTCTACCTGGCTTGCTGTGGTGCATGCAGTATTGGAGGATGTTGTGGCTCAGCTATGTCCAGCGCTAGGGCTTTTCCAGGGGCAGGAGGACTCTAACTTTCTCTCGATGGCGATGCCGCTACGTGCAGAGGACAGGAGGACTCGGCCTTCCTCTTGATTACAAGCAGTGCTGGGGATGCACTTCATCAGGGGAGGGCGAATCTTTGTACACCACCATCACTGTTAAATTTTTGGCGGGTGTAGGTTGGCTGTATGTCTTTTATCGAGATTCAGACCACCGTCCATGTCCATCGAGGCTGTGTTGAAGAATGCCAGCAAGTCCATGCGTAAAAGCGGGTGCGGTAACTGACCCTCCAACGCTTGGACGAGTGGCGGCAACACGTGCGTAGATGGCAAGGGCGGCTCCTCTCAGGACACGGACTGCGTTGCTTCGGTCCGCCTTGTACTGCTGAGTAGGCGCTTGGCAAGACAACATGCAGCCAGGCAGAGTTTTTCGCAAGAGCTCGAGCCTACGACATGGAGAGCGCTTACAAACAGTTCTGCGTGCAGACAGGACAGGGGCTGCATAGATGGGAGGTGCGGGGCCCGCTTTCTGGGCGGACAATGGTGCACGGACCCAATGCATTAAAGTTGGAGGACTTTCACTCGGTGACTACTCCGTTTCAAATCGTGGAACATCGCAATGCGGAGATGGTGATCTGGCGCAGAGCTCCAGCTGCAGCTCAACCGGGATCGACATAGCTGAGATCTTGAGGGGAAGGATGCTGGGGTTTGAACTTTTCGTTTTGATGGGTTGCCCTTGCGCCACCAGGTACATCGGACGAAGATTCACAGCGCCTAGTGTGACTAATGCAGTCGCTCCCGAACGTCATGCTACTTCGGACTGGCGTATGGCAAGGGTCGCATTGGTCAGCTCGTAATAGCAGACACCCAGCTTTTTCCCTCAACCGGAAAGATACCTGTGCTCGTGGCTGTTCAGGCATGGGAGCTTGATATTAAGGGGGCGCCAACTTGTGCACTCCTTAACACGAGGAGGCCCCAAATGCATAGGTAGCGGCCTGGGCTGACACTGACCTCTACAATACCATGGTGGCCGATTACACATCTTGGGAAGCCGAGACAGGTTGTCGAGCCTTGGTTTGTGAGTGCCAACATTTAGCTAAGTGTCAGATGATCCTTCCAGGTTGGATTTTCGGAAAATCCAACAGAGGTGCCGAGCAGTTTGCTGCTCCGTTTCACGTCGTTCAGGATCCATTTGCATGACAACTGAAAAGAAAGGGACGCAACTCCGCAGGGAAGTGTGTGCTCTTCCTTTGTCAGTTGTGGGGGGGCGGAGCTGCCTGGCTATGTGGGGTGCACGGCGGATGCCCCACTTGCAAATATGAGATCAGAATTTTGTGATATATACTTCTATATTGGCCTTATATTTGAAGGCAGTCGCTTTTGCATTGCTTCGCCTGGTGCCGTCAAGGTTTGTTGAGGATGAGTTTCCTTTACCTCACCTGGTGTACCGCTTAAAGTTTGCAACGTGTTTGCTTATGGAACTGATGATGCGAGCGCTTTCCTCGAAAGGGAATAAGTGGTGACTCCCGCAGGGATCATCTCCTTATTCGAATAAAAGGAAAAAACACTTTAGTGTTTAGTTCGCACTTCAGTTTGCAAACAGCCCCAGTCATTTGAACACACATGTTCTGCATTTGTACTTATGTGTGACACCTGGCTTTGGCTCAGGGTGGGAGGGAGGGTGACCTACACGGTCGTTTTGAAACCCAACCCCGCTCCGCTCCCGCCCATTTTTTTCCGATGCTTAAAGCCTATCCCAGCCGTTGTGCGCGGCGGACCAGGAGCTTGCCCCACTTGCAAATATGAGATCAGAATGATGTGATATATACTTCTATATTGGCCTTATATTTGAAGGCAGTCGCTTTTGCATTGCTTCGCCTGGTGCCGTCAAGGTTTGTTGAGGACTCACCTGGTGTACCGGTTGAAGTTTGCAACGTGTTTGCTTATGGAACTGATGATGCGAGCGCTTTCCTCGAAAGGGAATAAAACCCTGCGGAGAAGGAGCTCGGGAACTGGGGCCGCTTTTGCGCACTTTTTCGACCCAAAAGCGAGCGGTGACAAAGCGGTGACAAGCGGTGACGAGCTCGGCGGGCTGGAATTCGCAGGCTTTTCAGGGCAGAAAACGGAATTCTGAGCACGGCGAACGTCTGGAGCCGGTTTAAACGAGCGAACTTGGAGGCTCGGGCACCACTTTTGACGTCTGACACGAAAAAACGAACTTTTCGGGATTTCGGGAAGTTGGCCGATTTGAGCACTTTTCGACCGAAACGGAGCCAAAAAGCAGTGGTGACGAAGGATTTTTTGGCCGCAAAATGGCCATTTGACCAGCTTTTTGGCCCAAAAAACCCAAATTAATGGACTATAAGCTGATGTTCCTTACTACTACGGCCTTCTCCGTCGGCGCAAGCGCCTTGAGATCTCTGTGTGCCGGAAGCCTTGTCCAGTGGCTCAACCGATGATGCCAAACCCAAGGAAGCGAGTGGCGCGGGAGCCCCAACGCATCTTTGAAAGGAGGCTCCCAAAGGCGGAGGCCCAGGAGCAGACGGAGGAGCCGGCCGAAAAGCCGGCTGAGGCCCAGGAGCAGACGGAGACGGAGGAGCCGGCCGAAAAGCCGGCTGGCCCAGGAGCAGACGGAGACGGGGAGCTGGGCCGGCCGAGGTGGAGACGAGCAGACGGAGGTTAAGAGCAGAGGAGGTGGAGGAGGTAGAGGAGAAGGTGGAGAAGGTGGAGGAGGTGGAGGAGGTAGAGCTTCCGACACCCGCCCAACTGGGGCACTACACGCAGTTCAAGGAGCAGTTTACCGAGCCTCCGAGGATAACCCAAAACACCATCGCCTTGTTTGGGAGCGGACGGACGTGTTCACCATCAGCAACGCTCTGCAGCTCGACGCCGTGCGGCGATGCCCCGACCACAGTCTCCTTGATGTGCTGTGAGCCGTTCAAGCGCTCTGTGAGTGTGGACCAGGACGGCATTGGGTGGATTCCCGTGCTCCTGCGCCAGGCCGCACCGCGCCGGGCTGAAGGGGCGGATCTTCTCCGGCATCGGTCGGGTGCCCGTGCAGGAGGCGCCTGCCAAAAAGCGCAAAGGCAGTGAGGGCGCCGTGATTCCGCTCGGGCAAGTTCATAAAGCAGCTGCCGCCGGAGATTGCAAAGGAGATCGAGATGGGGTCCCAGACACGCTTGTGGGGCGCTCTGCATTTGCCTTCAAGAAGTTGGTCCGCTACATTGCGCGGCATCGCCTTGGATCCGTCAAGCTGGACATCAAGAACTCGTTCTTCCAGCTCTTGAACCGACAGAAGCCGCTGCCGCCCATCATGGCGGAGTACCTGGACCACCGTGAGGAGAAGCTCGCGCAGATCGGCCGCGTGCTCTTCCACAAGCTGCCCGAGGCCCGCCGGCGCAGCGTGGCGAAGGAGCTGATGATTGCCCTGGGCTTTGGGGGTGGTTCGCAAACTGGACGAGCAAGGTGCTGCAGGACATACCCTTGGCTTCGGATAGGGGGAGGCGCCCGCCTCTACCACGTGGACGTTTTTGAGCTCGCCACAGAAGGCCAGGGCCGCCCCACTGCCTCGGCCCTGTACGCCCATCACGAAGGTTGCAGATGGAGAAGATGGCGGCGGCAGCAGGAGGGCCTTCAACGACCACCAGCACGACGGCATCGGGGCCCTCCGCTCGCCGTAAAGCGAGCCGTGGATGTCGAGGTGGTCGTGCACGAGCTGGAGGACCCGTGGGCATACGCGGCGGGAAGTACCCCAACTTGGATTGGAGACTCAAGTCGAAGATGGAATTCTCCGAGTTCCAGCGCGCAGCAGCACGTCATACTTGGACGGGCGAGGGCAAACACCGTGGACTTTGCGAAGCTGGCGGCGGCGGTCTACACGTTCCGGTGGAGGGGGTGAGAGAGACCACCTACGAAAGCTTCGAGAAGGGAGGCTTCTGGCTGGTGCGAAGCCGGGACGACTTGGGCCAGACCGTGGAAGACCTGATGTGCAAGATGTGTTGCCCGGTCTTTGAGACAGTCGATGGGAACTGCGTGCCGCCGCGCCTCTCAACGATAATGCCTTCTTCACCGGTCTGTCCTCGTCCGTTCTGGGGCGTCTGGCAGCCGGCGGACCTCAACAGCGACGAGACACGGCACAAAATCCTCTTTTGCGACGGCATGCTCTACGATTTCAAGGAGCGTGTCCTCCGATCACCGATCCCGCCGACCGCACGGCTTCCACGCAAGGCGACCTCAGAGATGTGGCAGCCGAGCAAGGCGACCAAGCTCTTCGAGCACATCCTGGCTTTCTTGAAGGAGCATGTGAAGACGGGGGTGTGTCTGCTCGAGGCCAGCGAGAATGGCAAACAGGTCATCGAGGCTTCGATCCTCCACTGCCTTGATGCGGCGGTTCGTCAAGTCCTTGTTGTGCTGGAACCTGTCGGTGTTGTCTTGGAGGACCCTGAACTCTGTGGCCGGCTGCTTCTCCACGTCTTCCGGGGCGCCATGCACCGTCTCGTGGGGCCGCGCGTTGTAAGCGGTCTGCTCAAAGCGGTCGCTCCACTGGCCGCCCTTGCGGGCCACGCGCGTGGCCAGGTCCTTCTTCAGCGTCTGGATTCCCCGGTCCACCACGGCCGTGGCGTTGCGGTCCTCCGGGCGCTTCGTTCGGCGCACGGCTGTGACCACGAAGTTCTTGTCGTCCCCCGTCAGCTCCTGCGTGGCACGCGGTGGCCCGGCCGACCGTCTCGGCGTTCTTGTTCTGCAGAGGTTCCACGGCAGCCTCCCGGGTGAAGACGTCCATCACCACCAGGCCATACTTCGTCTTCCCCCGCGTGTTCTGGCTGAAGTCGATGAGGTCGGCCTGCAGCCGGTCGTTCGGCCTCTCGGCGGCCGACTTGCCCAGCGCACACGGCCGGGGCGCCTGGCCTTCAGCGCCTCGAAGGCCATGGCCTGCGTCACGTCAAGGTCGCAAGTCGGTACAGCTTCCGGGTCCCGCACGTTGAAGTCGTCGGCCAGGTCCCTCAGCGCCTCCATGTTTACTTGTTCTTCGGCCCCCGCTGGGCCAGGCTTCCAACTCGTCCAGCCGGGCCTGGAAGCCCTGCCCTTGCACACCCCCCAGAGCACGCTGGTGAGGTGAGCGTGATCATCTCCGTGCCGTCGCTCCACCTGGCGGTGCCCGTCAGGTTCTTCCACTTTGTTCCTGCGAAGTCGTTCGAGGCGAAGCCCAGCCTCAGGTCCTCGTTCATGTCCGGGCGCTTGTACTGCATGGCCTCCACGGAGTCGAACAGCTGCAGCAGCTCTGCCACGTCGGCCTCGGCCATCTCCGTCTTCACCCTGCTGTCCGACAAATTCGTGAAGCTCGTGTTGCAGACCACGTTGCCCGTGTTGCCTGCGATCACCAGGCAGCCGGGGTTCCTCTGGTTCGTGGTCAAGGACAGCTGCGCAGCCGCGAGGGCCGCGTCCGCCGCCGCGACGGAGTAGCAGTCTGGCCGTGATGCTCAGCGTGTCGTCGCCGTTGGCCAGCGCAGCAGAGAGAGGAGCCTCCAGATGCAGGTTGCGAACGACGTTGCTTCCGCGAACGAGCTCCCAAGTAGTGAAGCCCGCCCAGGCCGGCGCGTTAACAACTCCGCTGCCGGAAAGCTGCAGGGCGGCGAGCTCCGCGAGGATTGCGTCGAGGGCGGTCTGGAGCGCGGTCTCGCTGGCTGAGAGCGCGGCGTTCGTGGCGTACGAGGCCAGCAGCGTCGCGTCGGCCTTGGCCCCCTGGAGCGCCGTGATGCTGGCGTCGTGGCTAGCAAGCTGCGCTGCGACGAAGGCCTCGGTGGCGAGACCCAGCAGGGCATTTGCTATCTTGGTGTCTACCTCCAGCGGTGTGTCCAACCCGTCCACCGTGGAGAGCAGGGCGGCCAGCGCGCTGGCGTCCGCCTTGGCTGCCGTGTTCACCGCCAGGTCTGTTACTTGCGCGTAGGGCGTCAGAGCGAGGGCCAGCTGCCCTGCGGTGACGTGCGTGCCGTCAGTCACCTCTCCGTTGCCCAGGACCTCCGGGATGTTGCCGGTGACAGGTCCTCCAAACATGTTTTCCTCAGGAGTCGTTGCGCGAAGAGCTTCTCCGCAAGTACGTGTAACCCCGTGACACAGTCCGTGGGTGACCTGAAAGCGAGGCCGGCTCCGCGGCTTCGGTCTTGGAGCCCGCACCAGGCCCGCACCAGGCCCGCACCAGGCCCGCACCAGGCCCGCGCCAGGGTTTTTTGGAAGTACCGTGGCTACAATGATTTGACCGGTGGCGCCGGTCAATCGCGAGACCTGCGCAAGACGCTCGAAATTTGCCGGCAGTTCACCGAAAATTTTGCCTCGAGGCCGTCCTCGGGCGGCGCGGGCTCGGCAGGCTGGTGCGCTTGCCGCCACATAGCATGTTGCTCGGCTACCAGGACATGAAGTGAAGGACAACATCCTTCACTTCTGATACGTATAGTGTAGTGCAGAAACTATGCACGGCGTACATAGTTTCACCGGTCACATAAAAGCGTGCTACAGTCCTCCCGCCAGGGGAGGACTGGATTTTTTTTCCTTGGAAGAATTCCAACCTCGGGTGGTGCGGCCGGGTTGAGGCTTCTATGCCGGGCAGGTGGCGCGCCAGGGTGGAGGCTTCTATGCCGGGCAGGTATCGAAGCCTCCACGTTGTCGGCGGGCTGGCGTGGCTCCGATGGGCAGGGATGCGAAGCCTCCACGTTGTCGGCGGGCTGGCGTGGCTCCGATGCCGGGCAGGTGGTGCGGCCGGGTGGTGGAACGCGTTGAAACGAACCCACTTCGAAAACATAAGTGCCACTTATGTTTTCGAGCGGCGCGCTCGGTATCGAAGCCTCCACGTCGGCGGGCTGGCGCGGCTCCGATGCCGGGCAGGAATGTGATGCTCGAAAGCACAAGTGGCACTTGTGCTTTCGAAGCGGCCGGGTGGGAGGCTCCGATGCCGGGTAGGTGGCGCGGCCGGGAGGCTCCGATGCCGGGCAGGTTCGCCGAAACTGTCGGCTTAGACGACAGTTTCGCAAAATTTTCGTTTCCTGGTGACGCTGCGGCAGGCGGTGCAGCTCTCTCTTTAGAGGGGGTTTCCCAAATGATTCTATTCTACCTGACAGGCTCCTAGCACTCGTCCGTCCAGGTAGCCCTGCAAAGGTTGGCTTGCTTGAAATGCAACCTGCAGCCAGTGTCCGATAAAATCGGACACTGCTTCGTAGTTGGTGATAACATATGCAACATCATCAGCTGCGTGCCTGGCACGCTAGGTATCGAAGCCTCCACGTCGGCGGGCTCGGCAGGGCTCCGATGTGTGGCGCGCTCGGTGTCGAAGCCTCCACGTCGGCGGGCTGGCGTGGCTCCGATGCCGGGAAAGCGATGCTCGAAAACACAAGTGGCACTTGTGTTTTCTGGAGGCTTCCATACCAGGCAGGTGGCGCGCCAGGGTGGAGGCTTCTATGCCGGGCAGGGATGTGACGCGCTAGGTATCGAAGCCACGTTGGGCGAGCACTCTCCTTTGCAGAGCACGCTTCTTTGCAGAGCACTCTCCTCTGCAGAGCACGCTTCTTTGCAGAGCACTCTCCTCTGCAGAGCACACTCCTCTGCAGAGCACTCTCCTCTGCAGAACACACTTCTTTGCAGAGCAGTCTCCTTTGCAGAGCACTCTCCTTTGCACTCTCCTTTGCAGAGCACTCTCCTCTGCAGAGCACACTTCTTTGCAGAGCAGTCTCCTTTGCAGAGCACTCTCCTTTGCAGAGCACTCTCCTTTGCAGAGAACTCTCCTCTGCAGAGCACGCTTCTTTGCAGAGCACTCTCCTTTGCACAGCACTCTCCTCTGCAAAGCACACTTCTTTGCAGAGCACTCTCCTTTGCAGAGCACTCTCCTTTGCAGAGCACTCTCCTTTGCACGCTCCTTTGCAGAGCATGCTTCTTTGCAGAGCACGCTTCTTTGCACAGCACGCTCCTTTGCAGAGCACGCTCCTTTGCAGAGCACTCTCCTTTGCAGAGCACGCTCCTTTGCAGAGCACACTCCTTTGCAGAGTACTCTCCTTTGCAGAGCACTCTCCTTTTGCAGAGCACGCTTCTTTGCAGAGCACGCTCCTTTGAGAACACGCTCCTCTGCAGAGCACGCTCCTTTTGCAGAGCACGCTCCTTTGCAGAGTACTCTCCTTTGCAGAGCACTCTCCTTTGCAGAGCACGCTCCTTTGCAGAGTACTCTCCTTTGCGCAGCACGCTCCTTTGCAGAGCACTCTCCTTTGCAGAGCACTCTCCTTTGCAGAGCACGCTCCTGTGCAGAGCACGCTCCTTTGCAGAGCACTCTCCTCTGCAGAGTACTCTCCTTTGCAGAGCACTCTCCTTTGCAGAGCACGCTCCTTTGCAGAGCACGCTTGTTTGCACAGCACGCTCCTTTGCAGAGCACGCTCCTTTGCAGAGTACTCTCCTTTGCAGAGCACTTCTTTGCAGAGCACGCTCCTTTGCAGGGCACTCTCCTTTGCAGAGCACTCTCCTTTGCAGCGCACTCTCCTGCAGAACACGCTCCTCTGCAGAGCACTCTCCTCTGCAGAGCGCTCCCTTTTGCAGAGCACTCTCCTCTGCAGAGCACGCTTCTTTGCAGAGCACTCTCCTTTGCAGAGCACTCTCCTTTGCAGAGCACTCTCCTCTGCAGAACACGCTCCTCTGCAGAGCCACGCTCCTCTGCAGAGCACGCTCTGCAGAGCACTCTCCTCTGCAGAGCAGGCCACTCTAAGGAAGTCAGATGGCCCAACCACGTGGGCAGAGTGCCACGCATCTCTCTGCAAGATTTGTGGGAACCTTGGTAGTCCCGGCTGATTGTTGCCTTAAATGGGACCTGGAGCGTTTTCTTTCAGAGCCGTTAGAAAGGCCGCGTCATGAGTGGGGCTTGCAGAGCGTTCCTTTGACACTGGCTGTTTGAAGTGGGGGAAACGGTTGTGGTCAGCTTTGCTTCGCTTTGGAAAGACCACACACCCACCGCCAGTGTCAAAAGGTTGCTCGTGCTAGCTTGCTTTGGAACATGTTGTCGCTGGGTCTAGGAGAACTGGCAGTGTGTTTACTCACTTCTGTTTTCCTTGGCACATGCGCACATGTATGTGCCATTTTGGACCAAGTGGCATCACAACTACTTGCTCCTTGATTTTCTCCCACCCTCTCCTCTCTTTTTTGGTCCCCCTGTTCTAACAGTGGGGAGGCGCTTGAGGGTTGCTTTCGCTTTGGCCCTTTTCAGGGTCTGACATCAGAGTCGGCATTCCCTTCTCACGGCTCGCTTTTCAGCCATGTGAAACATGGCGCAACGGAGATGATGCTACTTGGGGCATCACTTTGCTGTTTTTCCCGGTTTTCTTCAA